TATAGACTATGCATTATTGTTGCGATTCTGACTTGATCCTCCTGTAGTTCTTTTGTTTGTCTAATTTTCAGCCAATCTGATGCATTCATTTGTAGGTAGATAGGATTCATGATGTGCCTATGTAAACTGCTTTATGTGGTTGTCTATTTGTGTGTTACACCTTTGTTTCTTTAATCGCAAGGATACTTTTCATAGGTATTCCTTTTCTATTTGTGTTCTTCAATTCTTTTCACTTTTTTAACAGGGCTGGCAACACAACTTGGATGCATATTATAATGTTATGAAGACACTACAAACTTTACTTTTTAAGGAAGACTGGGCAAAGTCTCTTCAATACATGATCCATCACTTCTATTCCTAAAAGTGAGCAAATCAAATTGTGCAACCAAATCGATTTGTAGACGTGCATTGAAAACAAGACAATTTTTCTTTTTTGTGCTGATAAACAAGTTGCACCTGATTATATTAACTAAGCTCAGTTTGGCCAATTAACCTGCAAATTTTAAACTCCAGCTTTCTCACATGCTTTGTTGGTTGATCAAAGTTATTTTATTTCATTCACATAAACAACTGCAAGACTAAATAACTGCTGGAAAAAACATGGGATCTTCTGTTATGCTGCTACTATGCTTTTGTAGCAGCATGATTGTTACTGATATCCATTGCCGTTGCCATTCTACTGTCTTTCCTTATTTCCAGTTATCATCTCTTAATGCTTAGGTCGGCCAAGAGGCAGCCAAGGGATGAGGTCACTGTTCCAGTCATAGCACCACCCCTTATGCTTCCACCTTCATTGCCACCTAGCGAGATGATGGTGGGGACTGTTGGAACTTACGGTGACCAGACAATTAAAAAGGGTAAATTTGTATAGCTATGTATAACTGCAAGTCTCAGAGATTCTCTTTCTTATCGTACATGTTGTTTTATTCCTTTTTAGGATTTACTATGTGGAGAGATACCATTGCCTATGGTAATCACTCTCCCTTTACTTCATTCAATATGATGTCTGCAGCTTCATTTCTCTTGTGCTTGAATCAGCTAATTGTTCCCTTGCTGCTATTAAAAGCTCTAGTTTAGTTTTGGTGAATTGATGAAACCCTAAGTACTAACTTAGTTTATCAAAGTGATTATGAGATAGGTAGCACTACTCCAAGTGGTGAAGCAAATGAAGATCATGACTTGATGATGGTGATACCATGGTGATAATCAAGTGCTTGGACTTGGAAAAGAAGTAAGAGAAAAATAAAAAGCTCAAGGCAAAGATGAAATTGTTAGGAGCTTTTTGGTTTAGTGATCGAGACACCTAGAGAGTGTGATCACATTTAGGATGGATAGCCGTACTATTAAGAGGGGTGAAACTCGTATCGAAATGCGGTTATCAAAGTGCTACTAGATGCTCTAACTCATTGCATATGCATTTATGATCTAGTGGAAAGCTAACACACTTGAAATTGTTTGTAAAAATATGCTAACACACATGCACAAAGGTGATACATATTGTGTTTAACACTTGGAAGCAAGGGTTCGAAACTTTATTGATATTCATTCTTGTGATTGATTGATTCATTCCTCGACTCGGCGGTAAAACCATCTTGCTCTCTCTTTTTATATTACCGCAAACTAGTTGTCAAGCTCTTTAGTGTAGCTAGTCGTGAGAGCTTGTTAGTTTGGTTAGTGTGGCTCTTTAGTTAGCCTTTGAGAGCACACTAACTTAGTGTAGCAACATAGCCATTGTGTGGATAGAGACTATATAAACTAGAATTGTGGTAGGTGGCTTGCATTTTTAGTAAGCTAGTGCAACACTCGTTTCGCCTCATATTTGTTTAATCGGTTTGCTAAGTGTTGTTGTAGAAATTTTTATAGGCTATTTAACCCCCTCTAGCCATTATGACCTTTTAGCTACATACAAAGGAATGTGTTCTTATGTTTAAACAAAGAAGAAATAAATTATGTTGTTGTTAAGGCATATACTGGTTCACTTGCTACATAAATTGAATGTGTATACTCTTATATGCTTGTCACTGTTATGCAGACTCAACAAGTTATGGGACAAAGTGGTCTGAAATTACAAAGATGTCTTAGGAAGGTAGGCTTTTCTTAATACTTTATTACTATTTTCTGCAAAGTATAACGAAAGGATAAGAAATGAGACATGTCAAATTATCCTTAATTTTCAATTGTCAGATTAATGATTATTATTCTGCAATATGTACTCAGTATAGATGCAATGTAATATTACTTTTCTGATAAGTAAACCGCGATTTGATTAAAAAGTTCATTTATTCATCTTGACTACCTAAAACTACCACAGTTAGAAGCCTAGAAGACTGAACTCACATTATCAGAAAAAGAAGACTGAACTTTCAGTTATGTCCAGAACATTAGTCATTTTGAGATAGCAAGCTACTGCTTCATGTATTGTTCAAGAAACTGCTCAATGATAGTTGTTGGAAGAAGGCCTACCATGCACAATGCAATACTAGAATGAAGTCTCAACTATTCATGGTCAGATCATTTGGTCAAAAATTTTGTTCCTCGTGGCACGACAAACATACTTGTTGATACTAATTCTTAAACTGCAAGAACAGTGAGCAATATCTTCTCAAGTACATAGAGCTAAATATTCCTATCACTTTAGAAACTGCTCAGATCAAACTCTGGAGCTGGCTCAATCTACCAATGTAGGTGGCGAGGACAAGAGCTCTCCAAGTACAAACCTCCAAGGCTCCAAGTTATCCTGGTAAGAAGGGCAAAAGGTTGGACACATGGTTCGGTTAAATGGCATAGCTTAGTTAGAATCGTTATCTATCACAATTGTTTTTTGATTTTCAGGCACCTCTTCATGAGGAGTCTTATCGCTTGTTCTTATTATGTAAGAGTGGATGACAAGGGTCACAATTAAATTTTCCTTTCTTAAAAAAAAATTGTACCACAAAGATCGTTGGCCTTATACCATTCATTTTTTCTTTTTAAAAAAAGGCAGAAGCTCCACTATATTTGTTTTAAGATCTACGATGATAATGCTAATTTCATAAACTTTATTTTTTTATTAAATGTCACTTTAATGTTGGTATTTGATTTTTATAGTATTATTATCTTATCGTACTATTTGTGTGTTTTAAGTATAAAATATTAGTTATCCTGTAGTAACGGACGGACACGCTACCTAGCGTAGAGAAAAGCCGAAGGTTTAATTGACTTGGGAGTGTCCCTGCGCAAAGCTGAAGGTTTATTTTATGTTTTCTGTCTTTGAACTTGCACTAGGCACCCAAGACAGATGATTGGGAGAGAGGCTCATAAAAAACAGGATGACAAGGCGCACTGGCGCAACCAAACTCCGTAGATCAACAGTGAGCTATGGCCCTCGGTGAGACTGAAACCCCTGAAGCTCTTTGGCAATCAACGAATCGAGAATGGGATCATCTAATCGGGCAGAGGGAATATGGAGTGGAGCAACGGTTCGCCGTTCACGGACATGTGGTGAGAAAAAAAAAATGATGGCTACCAATATAAGAAAGTCATCTAAAATCAGATCGGAGAATCCGATGAGATGGGACATAAAACTAAGGTTCTTTTTGATATGGCTCATGCCGGTTTCGACTTCATCTATTTTACGTAAATCGAGGCACTGTAGCGTGAAGTCGTTTTGTAAGCAGGAGTTAAAATGAACTAGAAGCGAAAAAAGTTAGTTTTTTTGGCTTCAAGGTTAAGCTGTTTTGGATGAGCCGTGGCAAAGAAAGCTTAAGAGTAAGATTAGATGGGCTAAAAGCATCTCGTCAAAGCTAGCTAGAGAATCTTGACTATGCAAGGGCAGTAGGCCCAAAACGGGAAACCATGGCCCCTCTATTGACTATGCAAATGCAAGTGCAGTACTGCCAACCTAGGGCCTGTTCGTTTGCAGCTGATTTATCAGTTAAAATTTATAGTATTTTTCTCTCGTAATAAATCAGCTTCAGTTAACTTATCAACCGGCTTTAATACCAGCCGATAATGCCCCTATTTACCTATCCAGCAAACTTGAACGGGTTACGTGGTAACTTTAAACAGAGGAGTACGTGTCTCTTCGGAGACATCCGATAAACAGAGTACGTAGACCAAAAACCACCTAGCTGTTTATATATTGATTGATTAAAAACAGCTACGAGAACAAAAACCGTGGTCTCCGCCTAGTCGGTGGCACACAATGCGTCGCCATCGGCATCCTAATCATACCCGACTTGGCTTGGAAGAGAGCGCCTTTCGTAGTACCTTCTAGTAGGCGCGACGCGACGTTTCCTCGCCAGATATTTTTCGCGTGACAAACGCTGCGTAATCCACCTGTAATCGACGAGTCGACGTAGACAGACACCCCCTTCATCGGAATATCTCAATTCTGACCAGCGACCACCTCAGCTAATCTAGACTAGATGTTCTGGACATGTTCCCACATGCTGACTATCCAAATTAACCCCAGCAAAACAGAAACTGCAATGCGCAATTTGGACAACTAGCTGACAAGGATTCTAGTGTTGTGTTGGATCACCAACTTCAACAAGAACATAAAACGTACTCTACGGTCCATACCTCTAGTTTTATGGATCGCTATACATAGGCTCCGTTCGTTCGCTGCTCTGAAACTTAGCTAAAAACACTGTTTTAGCTGAATTGTTATGAGAGAAAAACACTGTTCCGATTAAAAAAAACCCGAACAAACTGAATATGAAGTAAGTCGAACAGGATCATGAGATATACTCCATACTTGCAGTAATACGAGATACTAATAAACTAACAAAAAGTTACTACTAAATAAGCACTGGAGTTTTACATGGGATAGGTCAGTAAATCCCCAGCTAATTAGTACTAGCATTAGTAATAAGTGTAATAATTTACTGAGATGGACGGACGGATCGGCTTGCAAGCTCGAGTCACCTCGAGTTGTTGGACCCGTCGTGGTCGCTCCCGGCGCTGCCCGAGCCGTTGCAGGCCCGGAGCGGCTGGTACACGGGCCTGGGCCGGTAAGACTACGGCTCCGGCTCCGTCGCGTTGTGCTCCTGCTGGTCGGGATGCGCGTCGACCGGCTCCGCCTTCACCTCCGCCGCGCGGTCCACGCCGCCGGCGTCGTCGCCGTTGCTCTCGTCCCGCATTCGTTTCCACCCGATGGAGACGCCGAACAGCCTGGCGCACGCCTTCTCAGCCTCGTGCTCCGTTCCCGCTGCCGCGGGCTCGACGGCCGCGGGCACGGGGTCGCCGCGGCACGAGGGTAGGAGCTCCAGGATCGAAGGGAGCGGAGGCGGCGGCGCTGCGGCGGCGGCCTCCGCCGACTCGCCGGAGCAGTTCCCGGCGGCCGCTGCCTGCTTGGCGGCGTCCGGCTGCTGCTGAGTGGCGGCGTACTTGGACATGAGGAGGAGGATGTTGTTGCAGAGCTTCTTCATCTGCCCGAGCTCGCGCGCGAGCCGCGCGTTCTCCCGCTGCAGTCGCTCGTTCTCCTCGCCCACGTCGCCGGAGGCCACCCCGCCGGAGCCCGATCCTGACGGCGCCGCCGGCGGATGCTGCAGCGACGGGGGCTCGGGGGACGAGCTCGACGACAGCACTTGCTCCTCGCCCGAGTACACCGGCGAGCCCACGAGCAGCGCCATCGGGATGGCCGCCGCCGCGGCAGCCACCGTGACCGCCCCCGCGGCCGCCGCGGCCGGCGTCACCTTCCGGCGGTGTATGTCGCAGAGCAGCCGCTTCTCCCCTCGGCGGAAGCAGTCGTTCGCGAACTCCCACCTGTCCGGCACGATCTTCCTGAACCCCTGCAACCGTGGGAGCCGCAGATCACAACAACAACAACAGTCACCGCCACGCCGAGACGAGACGATACACGGCACGGAAAGGGAAGCGATTGAGACGAAACGATGGATGATGCAAACGGGAACGAGGCGCTCACGTAGGTGTTGAGCTGGCGCACGAAGCTGGAGAAGTTGTTGTGCTTGAAGTACTTGGGCAGGAGGTCGCGCGCGAACTCCGCCGGGCGCCACACGATGAAGGCGGACCCGTCGTCGTTCCACGAGATGACGTCGTCCACCACCGGGTCGTCCACCAGCTGGTACGTCTTGGTGAGGAACGGCGTGGGCACGGACCTCTGCCCCGCCGACGCCGGCGCCGGAGCCGTCGCGCCCTCCGCCGGCTGCGGCGTGGCGGGAGGCGGCTCGCCCACCGCCGCGGTGGCATGCTCGGCGGCCATGGCGGCGCCGGCCGCGCGGATCTGGCTGGGGGGGCACCTTCGGCGCGGGAAGAGAGAGAGAGGAAGAGGAAGGAAGGAGGAAAGAAGGAAGAAAGGTGGTGGGTTCTGGAAGTTTCCGGTGGCGTAGCGTGGAGAGAAACCAGCGGCGGTTACGAGCAGAGGCGCGGAAGAGGAGGAGGAGGAGACGGGACGGGAGAAGAGAGGGACACGGTCGCGGGAGAGAGGCGCTAATAATATGGCGAGGAGGGCGACCCGCCAGCCACTCGTGCCACGGAAAGAGGCGAGCGGAAGCCAAGTCGCGCGGCCCGCGGCCGGAGCGGAGGGGAGGGTACGGGGCGTCCGGCCGGTCCCGCTTGGCGTGGAAGGTGTCTGGCCCGCCGGATGGGAGGCCTGGGGTGGAGATGGGATGGGGTGGCGGCGCGTGGGGTTGGGGTGCGTGCTGGGTGGGGCGACGAAACTGCGAGAAGGTTCCGTTGTTTTTTCCCCGGATCGTTGTTCTGGAAGGTTCAAGGCCCCCCGGCGGAGGAATCCTGGACACGTCTCGGTCGCCGGTGGGGCCCGCTGGCTATTATCATATAAAAATAAAACAAACTTTATAAAATCGAAAATTTGTTAGCGCAAACGCTAACTAAGGCCCGTTTAGATGCGAAATTTTTTGGCTTTTAGCTACTGTAGCACTTTTCGTTTGTATTTGGCAAAAATTGTCTAATTATAGACTATTTAGGCTTAAAAGATTCGTCTCGCCAATTACGGATAAACTGTGCAATTAGTTATTCTTTTTACCTACATTTAATGCTCCATGCATATGCCGTAAGATTTGATGTGACGGGAAATTTTGAAAATTTTTGGATTTTTGGGTGGATCTAAACAGAGCCTAACCACAGCCAGCTACAGAGTTATAGAAACCTTTTTTTGCTTGATGCAATCTCAGTAGCTTGACTGATCGACTACTTCATGTTGGATTTGTGTGTGTCCGTGTGGAGTGTGGACACAGAGATGATCTGGTGGCTTCCGTACATTACTGGTGCAAGTTAATTTGAGCGTGACAGCTTTCTGTGATTCTAGATGATCGAGCGCAGATATTTCTTCGCTACCGACTTGAATGTAGTAGGAGTAAGATTTCTTTCGTCCAACGCACAGCCTTTTGAGCTGCCGAGTCTGTGAGATCTTTTGCTGATCCCGATCGCACTAGTAGTACTGTACTGGACAGGTGCGCGGTGGATGTCGGTACACGAGAGCTGGTCCTTGCTCGACGCCGCTGCACTGTTTGCCGTACGGTGCACGGGCGTCCATGATTCAAGGATGAATGAATTTTGGATTCTGACTCCTTTCATCCTAAAAATGCAATTCTCGTTTTTGAGAGGCCAATCAGTTTCAATATTAATCAGCTCTATAGAAAAAAAAGGTACTACTAACATTTTTTATATAAAATGGTATCATTACATTTATTACGATATATTTTATAATAAATCTATTGAAGACAAATATTGATATTTTTTCCTATAATATAGGTTAAACTGGAATTTTTTTTGACTAGTCTCAAACCTAAAATTATTTTTTCTTTTAGGGTGGAGGGAGTACTCGTAGAATGTTCTTCTATAGCAATCCTAGATGGTATCCAAATTACGTCGTGGCGCCTACGGTTACTACTGGTACTACTACGGTGTGTCGATTTTGGCATGGATCGATGGATCGATTGTTGTAGTGTTGATTTCTTCAGCGGGTGTCATGCCTTTTGTTTAATCACACGTAGAAACATAATTTATAACAATCTTTTTTCTTTTCTTTGCGCAAGTCAAGATTCCGTTTACTTCTATAATACTTAAATGACATTTTTGGAAATTGCAATAATGCAATGGGCGAACGACGGGAATTGAATCCGCGCATGGAGAGGGGAAAAAACCGAGAGAAGCAAAAGTAACTTTTGAAAGTTTAGTTACGGAAGCCATCTCTACCACAAAACTGGACAAATGAGTTTCTTTTCATCCAGCTCCTCGGATTTTTTCTATACTAGGGGTTTTATCCTAGGTATAAGAAGATTACCTGAACTAACTAGGGGATTTCCTACGCGGACAGTGGCGGAACTAGGGGCCAGTGCCCCCCCCATCCAATGGAATTTATTTTTAGTACCCCTTGTAAATATTTCAATTTATAGCAAAATAAGCCATCAAATCACACATTTTATCGTAATATTGTGATTTTTCGTTATAAATACTGACTATATATGTAAAAACATTGAATTTTTTTTTGAGACATGCACTTCTTTATATATTTATCGCATTGAGACGTGTCAAATATTTGTCTGGACCCCTTAATCAAAATTTCTGGTTCCGCCACTGACACTGTCGTGTGTTTGTTTAATCTCATGTAACATCACTTGTAAAAAAAAAAAAAAAACACTTGCTAGAGCAGTGTTCCTGCTATTTTCTTTTTTTTTTAAATAAAATTATGTCGGCACCAATAAACTGTACTGGAGACTACTCGAAGTCTCGAATTGAGGTATCGTACTGGCTATTTGTCTTGTGATAGCACAGCAGTATTGGAGTAGTATACAGTGCTCCGTAGTACTGTAGTTTTTTTGATAACGATACAGCCACACACGGAGACTGCGGAGGGAGCCAGGAGGATGGAATTTTGGTGTGCCCAGAAAGAACGGGCCTGGGAGACGTGTACGTACGGATTAGATTGTTGACCGGCTATAGGCACTCTTGGTCGCAGTTCGCAGGTCGCAGCAGGGAGCCAGGACGTGGTGTGTGGACATGTGGTGTGGCAGACTGACTGCCAGCACGAGGCGGAGAGGAGCAGGGGCAGCAGGCACGCAGCATGCTGGGAGACTGGTTTGACTTGACTCCAGCTGCATGGGGTGCTGGCCTTCTGGACGTTGGACAGGTCACCGCTTGCTGCTTAGCATCGTACCGTACCATATCCATTATCCTCGTCATGATTTTTTTTGCCCCATGAGAGGAAACCAACGTTTTTTTTTTGTAAATACTCGCTCGATGTAAAAATACATAACTCTCACTTTCCAAAGAATAAAACTATCTTAAATTTAACTAAATATATACATAAAAGTAAGAATACTTATGATATATAATAAGTATCATTAGATTAAAGATAGAATATATTCTTATAATAAACTTATTTTAAAGATATAAATACTGATACTCTATAAATCTGATTGAATGTGAGATTGGTGTTTGTCTTCTCGGAAATGAGAATTCCATTTGTTCTAGAATGGGCGGAGTATAAAGTAAAACTTAAAGAAGAGGAAACTATCAGTTACTACAGCCTTGCAGGAGATTTACACCGCCATTACATACACATAGAACCTAAACTTTTTTTACATAAAAATTACTACTCCCTCTGTCCAGAAAAACATACAACTATGGATTGCGTGCCACATAAAATTATTCATGTTTGACAGTTTTTAGAGAATAATATTCATATTTATGACTCCAAATTAATTTATTATGAAAATATATTTTATATTTGATCTAATGATATTTATTTGGTGTTATAAATATTTATAGTTTTTTATCTATAAATGATCAAACATGATATATTAAAATATAATACTATACTAGAATTGCATATTTTTATGGACGGAGAGAGTACACAGAGCGAGAGAGCAGCCAAGAAAGATCGTCAACTCAGCGAGTCTACAGGATACAGCAAGGCCCATCCCGTATGTTATATATCGGCACAGCCCATCTATCAGAACAACCGAACGAAGAGCCCACGATTCTCTTGGTTCTGCTGTTGCACGGGCCAAACAATTCTTTGACTTGACAACGCATGAGGACCCGTCCATACTCGCAAGATACGGCCCATGCAGTGTTATTATTAATCAAAGAGACAGAGAAAAAAAGGAGGTGCATTTCCGCCATAGTAGTCTCGGTTGGCTCGTTCCCTGTGTGGTCGGAACGACCGGTCCTGGGTTCGATTCTCAGAATCGACCACAGCCTCACGTCCGGTATTTTCTCTCCGTTTTTGTCCGCGGCCTCTCTCGCGTGAATTCACGGAGGGATTGCGACACCTGCTTGCCGCCTTGATGGTCCCGATCCCGATGATCTCAAGAAGGACGTGGTTTTCTACGTGTAGTTGTAGGTTTAGTTTAGTTATACACACATGGTGTGAGTGTGTGTGGGTAGTGTGGGCGTGTGTTCGTATATAACATGATACAACAACTGTACTCATACGAGAGACTTAAAATAAAATAGTGTTATTAGTGGATGCCTAGTAGTTCCTACAAAGTGAGGTCATTGCCTCATTGGATCCACGAGAGTAGAGAGACGAGACCACGACCTTGCACAAGAAGAGCACATTGCTAGCTGTCCGGCTGTCCCCCGACGACATGATCACCTTCGCAAACAACTCTCGCTGCCCTGGTAATCCATCGGCATCTCCGTTTAAAAGCCACAAAATTGGCAGAGTTTTCTTCGCGACTGCTCTGCTTATCCCAGCGCGCTTCCAAACCGAGGATATTTCACTGGCTACTGAGTACCGAGGCATTCGCCCGAGGCTTTCGGATATACTCGTATTCATCTCAATCGTGTATGTATTAAAGTGGATTAAATTAGAAAAGTAGTTAATTTCTATCCTAATTCACTTCAAGATACGAAACATAAATTGAGGTGGATGTGTATACCTCAGCTGAGAGCAACCACGTCCTCACACACACCGTACAGTTTTGATAGTCCTGATGGGCTAGTGGCCAGTGGCAGTTCTGCCATGCCATAGCGGGGCGGCATAGTCGCTGAGCGAGCGGGTGGACTGGACTAGGAGTGTGCCCATAACATGGTTATCTATTCAGAGCTACAAATGGAGGACCAAGGACCAACAATGCTCAATGATGTGAGAGAATAAAAATTGCCCCTAAGGGCATGTGCTCTGCTGTTGTACACCCTCAGATTCGCTCTGAGATGTGTGCACAGCAGGAGAGAGACAATTGAAAAAAAAAACCGCCTTCGCAATGATGTGCATTTTGATTTCCTCCATGG